CCCCCCCAAAACTTTGTCTTCAAAATAAGGATGCGTCTTATATTCCGAAAAATATGGTAAATACTCATTATGTCAAAAGATTATCTGCAGCACTCTGATAACATACTAATCTTTACTGGTTCTAGATATGATAACATACTAATCTTTACTCATTCTACATATAATAACATACTAATCTTTACTGGTTCTAGATATGATAACATACTAATCTTTACTCATTCTACATAAAATAGTATACTCATCTTTACTGGTTCTAGATATGATAACATACTAATCTTTACTCATTCTACATATAATAACATACTAATCTTTTGATTAGTATGTTATCATATCTAGAACCAGTAAAGATGAGTATGCTATTGTATGTAGTACCATTTTCACTCATTCTACATATAATAACATACTAATCTTTACTGGTCATACATATCATTATGTACTAATTTTTATAACAGGTTCTACGTATGATAACGTTCTAATCTTTTCTAGTTCTACAGAGGATAATGTAATAATCCTTACTGGTTCTACCTATGATAACACACTAATCTTTACTGGTTATATGTTGTTAGAATACTAATTTACAGAGGCAACTATTTATTTTTTTGTTTAATAAAAATGATGCATTAAATTAAGCTATAAACCCATCACCAGACACAAAACTATAGGCTGACCCAACAGATGTCTAAAGACCCTCCACCACTGATACTACTCCCTGTATAACACCACAACAAATGTTTACTCACAATGAACTTATACAAAACTCTCCTCTGCCCTGTCTCTGAAAAGTTAAAATCAAATCTTAAAAAAAATAAAAAATTAAGTTATATATTACATAACACTTTATAGTCTTAAACAACTTAGAATGATCATCTTGGTGTCTTTTCAATTTCATGCATATTTTCTTTTAAACTTTGGACATTTAATCTTTTAAAAATGACATCATATGTTGACTATAGATATGTGTGTTACAATTTTTAATGACACAAAATTGTGTAATAATGGGCTAAGATTTTCAAGTAAGAACACTTCTGAAAAACCAAAATTTCATCCACAGTATTATTTAACACTCTGAACTGGAGGGGTGTTATTTATATTCCTTGATTTTTCTTTCTCACAATGGAAATACTTAACTGCATCAGTCATAGCAGAAACATATCTAGTTTTGCATTAAAAAATAATATTACAATTTGAAATTTGTTGTTAGAGGCTGTTTTGAAAAAAGCCACTAAGAATACTTCCATTTGTCTTAGAATTTCAATTTCTTAAAATTTTGATCAGAAAGTTCCATTTTATAGATGTCATTTCAATTTGATTGATATTCATTAACGTATTTCTTTTGATACTTTAATTAGCCAACTGCACTAGTCACCACTTGCAGCTATAAATCATAAGAGAAATGGCAAAAACTCACAAAGGTTTATTACTGACCTAGGATTTTACCTTTCAGAACAGTAACCATTACTTTTGTCAGAATATATATTATGATTTTAGCTAAAAATATTCTTAATCGATTTATATTTATAATAAAATTAATTATTTTTCAATATATAATAAGTTATTTTATTTTTGTCCATTGTTTGAATACAACAAACTTAAAACATTGATAAATAATGATTTTAATCATTGGAAAATTCTGGCTATTGTACTTGCTAAACCTAATTAAGCCTACCTGATGTCTTGATATAGAAGAAAATTTCTGTAGATTTTAAAGAAATATAATTTAACACCAAAACATTTTCATGAATGACCATTTACAAAATTAAAAAAAAATTCCCAGATCTATGTTTTGTTCGCAAGTTTTCCAAACTTCTCATCAAGATTATTTTATTCATCCCTGCAGTAGCTCTGTCTGGTAACTTTCTCCAAAACCATAAATTACTGCTTCAACCAATTTTTTTTAGTCTATGTTGACATAAGTAACTTATTACCTGTTTTATACAACTATATTTAAATTTTGCATAGGTATTTTCAGCATTGTGCTTCAATTAAAAACTGTTCAGACTACACACAAAAAAAAGTGGAAATAAAGGGCTGAAGGAATTAAACCATTAACACAGAAGAAAAAAATCACATGACAAACAAGATATGAATAATTATATTTTCAACGAATGATAGTTTCATAGAAAATATAAACCGACACCTTAGGATATGCAGAAAAATTCTAAAAAATTTCTGAAATGCATTTATTATTCAGGAGACTCCTCAGAGCTATGTGGATATAAAAGTTGGAACAGTCATCTTTCTTTGAAATTACACTGAGTAAATATCACAAAATAACAAAATGTCGATTGGAAAATATTTTTGAGTTAAAAAAAACATTTTTTTACTTAAGTTTTGAAATTTGATATTCTGTTGTAGACTCAATATCTGAAAGGTGTTCACCAGTTGAGATAGGATTAAAAGGATTTTTTTAATGTATACAATGTGAAAAATTTAACTTGCAAAGTTATAACAACTTTTATACTCATCCACACATAATCCCATGAAATTAATTTCTATCTGTTGTGCAACAAACTGTAATCCAACAGAAAATGTAATCTAAAACACTAAAGAGAAACTTGAGTGACCAACAGTCTTAACTCATATTGGAATTAGAAAGATGATCTGAAAGAATAAAAAAGTGAAAGGTAGAAAATGAAGGTTCCAAAAGATGTCAAAGATGGAAGTAAAATGTATTTCCAAAATGAGCAACTCCTACCCTCTTTGTAAATGGTTGTGAAAAGTTAAAGATATTTAATACTTTCACTCTTTTTTGTCCTATTAGATATTTTATATCTTTTTGATGCATGTTGTAAATTGTTGATTATTAGCACCATTTGAACCCAAGAATTACTAACAGGGTCACCCTTAATAAAATTTTTTTGAACAACATATGCTCCAAGTTGCTTGTAGATCCATGATGTCAGTGGTAACAGGAAAATCAATAACATAGGAGTCACACAAGAAATTTAACCAAACATAGAATAAACATTAAAATTAATCTAATTACTGCTGGGGTTCCTACAGTTTTTACCAGAATAATAGGTGGTTTCATCCAATTTGTTTGGTCAATTTTTTTTACAGTGATTGTTGTAGCAGACACAAAAATAAGATTACTCAACAAGATTCAATCCTCGAACTTTTGGACCAGTAAACATACAAGCTGGTAATTTGAGGGTTAAAGTAACTTCCTGTTTTATTATACTTTGTACAAAAATTGACATACTATATTGATGTATGCTACACGTGTATGTTCATAGGTATGTTGAATAAGATGTATTTGCACTTTCTACATATTCTACTTATCAAATTTGTATTTTTAGCTTATAACGTGAACATACACATATAGTTACAGTACTTACTCTGAGTCTTCCTTTTCCCTGTTTCCTGTGTCAGAAACAGAAGCAGCAGCTTCCTCAAGCTGCAGTCGACTACAAATGGTCTGGTAAACTTTAGAGTTCAGTTTTTCCTCTTCAATACCTTGCAACTCAAAATCTGAGAATAATTTCTGTGGACAATCATACATTTAACTGATTGTACTACAATGTCATGTACATCAAATTTTCAAAGAATTTCATGCATTATTTTATTTTGAAACTTTTATTATATTATTACATGGAAATAATAAAAGGTTGTCAAGAAATTAATTTCGAGTTTTGGAACAATTTCATTAACCACCCCCAGAAAATGTACATCACGTATAATAGTTAAATGAGTCACCTAAATGTCACGTTAGTGTAGCCTATATAATGTGTAAAGTTTAGTATACTCTAATCCATTATGGTGATGACGCATGATGAGATACACATTCGGCATGTAGATCTGTTTGAATACAAGAAGGGAAACAATGCCTCTGTAGCCTCAAAGAATAGCAAAGAAGTTTATGGAAATGTTTTGAACGTCCGTAAGTGTCAACGATAGTTCAGCAAAGTTTGTTCAGGTGACTTGAGTCTTAAAAACTGTGATTGCAGGGGCCGACATGTTGGAATTGATACTGATGCTCTGAAAACGTTTGTTGAGTGTAACCCAAGTCAACACACTTGTGAAATGGCCATGAAATTGCATGTCTCTCATGAAAAAAATACATAAACATCTAAGGAATATGGGAAAACTCCATAAAGAAGGTGCTTGGGTGCCTCACAAACTCTCCAATGATCATCGTTTCCAACGTGTGAATGTTGCTTCGTCTCTTCTGGTGCGTAATGCGCCTGAACCATTTTTGGATAGAATTGTCACCGTTAATGAAAAATTGATTCTATATGCAAATATTAAACACCAAAAACAATGGCTTAGTTCTAAACAAAAACCACTTCTGATCCCAGAACCTGGACTCCATCCGCAGAAAGTGATGCTTTGCATGGTGGGACATCAAAGGAGTATTTCATTTTGAAATCCTCAATCCACAGTGAACTGTCAATGCAGAAATCTATAGTCAGCAACTGGAATGTTTAAATCAAGCCCTTCATCAGAAACACCCTTCACTCATCAATCGGAAAGGTGTTCTTCTTGTCCATAACTTTGCATGTCCACATGTGGCACGTTTGATGCAACACAAGATTATGGAGTTGGGTTAGGAAGTTCTCCCCCACCCACCATTTTCTGCAACACCATCTTAATGGGAAAACATATGCAAATGTGAAAGGTGTTAAAGAGAAGATCAAAATTTTTTTTTTGCTTCAAAGCCAAATGATTTCTTTAACCCTTTCATTACAGCTCACTAAAACCTTACCTCATCATTTGAAATCTTGTGTGAAAAGAAAGAAATTAGCACAATAACACATCAAAATGGCTAAGAAAACCACTAGGGGGACATTCTCAGCTTTCAATTGGTTATTCATGTCATATATAGAAGTAAGTGTATATATGGGACCATTTCAAAAAATGGAAAGAGGTGGGCTGTGGGGCCACTGTGTGATTTATTACATGTACAATACCTTAGCAAATTGAAAAGATAAGAGGCTCTTATTTTATATTCTAGCTTGTCAATATCAGTAGTTTGAGATTCCAATTCGTACAAAACTGTAGATTTTGTATTTTGACATCACAAACATATAATCTGAACCAGCGCTGCATTCAACATACCACATGACACACAAAAATTGATGTTTAGCTGTTTTTTTTCAATATTTACTTTTAAAGAAATTAACTAATGTATAATATTACAATTTGAATTATAATCTACAATTTGATACCAAACTTATTGACATAGATTCATAAAATAGTAGTTCAATAAAATTTTGAATGCAAGTCAACAAACACAATGATATGGCCTTTGACACGTGACACGTCGAGATAGGGTTAATCAGGGCATTAACAACCTGATTGTAAGATGGAAAAGCATCAACGATAAAAATGGAGACTATTTCATTTAGATAGGGTTAATCAGGGCATTAACAACCTGATTGTAAGATGGAAAAGCATCAACGATAAAAATGGAGACTATTTCATTTAATAAATGATTTGTTTTGATATACAAGATGTTTGGGTTTTTTCATCTAAAAAAAGTGACATTAATTTCTTGACGACCTAATATATTAAATTCATATCACTTAAACCATATGCATAATATTTTTAATTTTCACCACCACAAACAGATTGATGGTTTTCTTTGAATGATCTCTCACCTAAAATATAATAAAAAGGTAAAAACACCAGATGCAGATGATTATAAATCAGTGTTTCATTTTTGTGAAGATATAATTGGAATTTTGATGACAGACTGAAGAAATTAACTAAAAATGCACAGAATGTTCATAGAGTAAAAACTGTTACACAATTTTAATAATAGGTGTTTGCTTTAGAAACATATTAGTAACAACAAATAGTGATGTAATGCAAACTTTTATATTTGAAGAAACAACTGTACCATTAAAAATTAACCAACTATGGTTCTAAAAACCTTTTCTATATATATATATATTCCTACTACTAAACATAAACATTAATTTCTGTTTTTACTTGTAGCTAAGCGGTACTTAAAGGAAAGGCCACCCTTCAAAAGCACTTCACTAGGACCATGAATTTAAAAACAGAAAAACTATCTGCCCAAAATAAACAAATGCTATAAAAAGTACCTTTTCATTTTTAAAAACCTACTTATCCTTCTCCCATTTCCACAAAACAAAACAAGAAAAGTGGAATATAAATTAAGGATTTTTCATTTATTTAACAGTTAACTGTTGTACACTATAAAACATTATCTAAAATACTTTTCTTCACTGGGATTCTTAATAACAGATAAAAACTTTTAAGCTTAAAAAAAAGGGAGTAAAAAGAAATAGCTTAAAGACTGAAAAAAAAAAAAAAAATTCTGTTTATGAACTATCAAACTACATCCGAGTGT